AGGATCCCCTGCTGTTCCTGTGGATATTTTTAAGGCTGTTTCTGCCATGAAGAATACTGCCATTTATTGATTATTTTTAATAAACTTACTATGCATGCATGTTTTATTTGATTTCAACTATTAGTGTTTACATTATAGAGTTGTTATCAAGTGTCAGTGATACTCAAGAGTCAAGAAATATTCAATAAACAGGGTTTGTAATTTTACATCTCTAAGGCAGCCATTTTGATCTCGTAACAAGCCTTGTGTAAAAAATATCAGACCATTTCCAATCCATGTGTTTGTATATATATGGTCTAATAGATAACTTCCTTGAAAGTGGGTGTGGTCACAATGAATAAAATGGCGGCAGTCAGCAAGTCTGAGCTTATTTACAGCAAACGCAGGGGCGTATCTAGGACTTGGGGAAGAGGGGTGCTGAAGGCGCGCGAAGCGCGCCGCGATTTTGGCCACACCCACTTTTACGGCGGTAAAACGGCCTTTTCCTGCATTTTCGTCAATTACGGGTGGGGCCAAGATCATTTCAAGCATACTGCTATGTTACTGGTACTTCTGATTGCTTCTTAAAGCACTGGAAACTGCTGAAATCATGATAAGGGGGCTAGATAACTTTGTTAAGAGGCTTGGTAGTGATGCAAGAGTCCAGGACTTCAGTAATTTTTTCTGAGCCCAGCCCTGAGGGGGGTGCTCAAGCCCCCTCAGCCCCCCCCTAAATACGCCTCTGAAACGGTTAGGGTCAGCAAGATAATATTAAACTGCTGTTCAAAGACTTCTCTAGCAGTTAGCCTAGGTTAACAAAGCAGGTGACAGTCTTCTTCGTTCAGTGACTGCTTCTAACTGTAAGCAAGATAACTTTACATGTTATATATAATGGCTGCAGAGTCAGTGATGAAGTAATTTAAGCCTTAATGCAACAAGATCTATTGTATTTAGACTTGTGCAATTGCTTTGCTTGCTCATACATGTAGATCACAGCACATAATCTATAGCTTGCTTAGGCTTATCCCTTTAATGTTTTACATTCTTCTAGTAGTTATTAATACCAAATGATCAAAAACGCTAAATTAAGTACCAGCAAAATGTCAGTTTCATGAAAATCGCTAAAATAAGTACACACTAACAATTGTATCCTTAAGGTAATACTTATAGAGCGGTTTCATATGACGTCATAGCATGCATTATAATTATTTCCATATGGCAAAATAGCTACTTTGCCATTCATTTTTACAGCGCTATAAACTCTTCTGGCAGGCTTCCTTAACTATGAGCATGGCTAATTCATGCTGCTCTTTCATTTTCCTGGACTCAGGGATGCAAAGGAAGCAAAAAGTCCTCGGATAGAGAACCAGTGAAGTGGCCAAAGTGAACACAGTCTTGTCTTTTTCCTCCTATAATTATTGCTATCGCCACTTTTCTGATTACTACTGCTATAATTGTATTGTACTCCTTTTCTGCCTTGTGCTGTATGAAAAAAGCTGTGGAAGAAGCAACTTTACTACTATAAACGAATAAGGCTCATTAATTTTTGCCTTACGGAAGTAATTATGACGTCAAAAAGTGACGTCACTGAAGCCACTCTATTTAATACAAAACTTATACTACTGAAGGTATGAATATCATTATATTAGTACTAGCATTGTGAGTAGTGTAATGGGTGTGGTTATTAATACTAGACCACACCCACTCTAATCTATTTTACCTCTTCTTAATGTCCTTCTAATGTCCAATGTATAACGTTTAACCACACCTTCCACTGGTATAGTATAATGTAGTCTAAGAACAGCATCAGGTGTAGCATGTATCGATATACTGCAGCAGGGAGGGTCAGGATAACCAGGTGTACCAACCTTATCAACATCACTTCTATATATCTATTGATATACACACACACATTAATTATATATATACATGATACAAGTACTTACTCTACAAGGTACTGTGTGAGGTTTAATAATCCATCCAGTGGTTGGCTTAACTTGTGGAGTATCAAACTTTAATTCAATATAATCACCTCTTGATATAAGTGTAGAGTCTTGCTGCGGGACAAATGTAAAGTTGATACTTTGCGTTAATCCAACTATCTTAGGGTGCTTCCTATTCCTATACTGTAATAAAAGACATTAATACACATCATGTATACCTCATTATAATATACTTACATCAAAGAGTGTGCCTGCATCTTTAGCTACAGTAAATATTGCTACATATTCATTTAAACCTTTCTCCTCATATAATAACCTTCCTTCATATTGAGTATCTCTTCCTAATGTAAAGTGAAATAAAGTGAATCAAACACTGAACACTTGATACTGACACAAGAGTTAACCTGATCCACCAGTGGCCATCTTGACAGTTCACTCCCACAACAAACTATTTACTGATCACGTGACACAAACTTATCAAAACAACCAATGAATAACATTAAACACTAAACACATTACAATAGACTCACATAAGATCTATATATTAAATTATAATAATCTGGTTTAATGAATTCAGTAATAATATTATCATCAACAGTACGAGACAGAGTATCTTTAAGTGAGGACTCATCAACACTAATAATAATAATAATAATAATAATAATAAATATTAAAATAATGGCTGTAAAACATACTATACTCCAGGAGGACTGAACATGTACACATAATACTTGATCTTCAGTTCAATCCCTGAGGTCCTCTAAGTGAACTCACAATTATTATCCAAAGAGAGCATGATCATCTGACTACCAGGATCAACTGGTAATACCGTACCTGTTTGTAATACTGACTGGTATTATAACACTAGTAAACCTGTTTGACAGGCTACACTCACTGGCAGAGGCGTATTTAGGGGGGGGGGGCTGAGGGGGCTTGAGCACCCCCCTCATGGCTGGGCTCAGAAAAAATTACTAAAGTCCTGGACTCTTGCATCACTACCAAGCCTCTTAACAAAGTTATTTAGCCCCCTTATCATGATTTCAGCAGTTTCCAGTGCTTTAAGGAGCAATCAGAAGTACCAGTAACAGAGCAGTATGCTTGAAATGATTTTGGCCCCACCCGTAATTGACGAAAATGCAGGAAAAGGCCGTTTTACCGCCGTAAAAGTGGGTGTGGTCAAAATCGCGGCGCGCTTCGCGCGCCCTCAGCACCCCCCTTTCCCAATTCCTAGATACGCCCCTGACTGGTTTATAGTGAGGAGGTCTGGTACTGTCATACCCAACAGTAATATCACATACACTAGTAACACCAGCTGGACCACAAGTACTGGGACACTGTAGGAGATAGAGGAGGGACATTTTATTCAAAATACTGTACACTAGCTCATTATAATTACTGGTCCATCTTTTCTCAGTCCATCAAAGAGTTCTTTTATCGTTTATTTTGAGTGACATATAAAATAAGAATTGCTTAAGACAATTAACTTGACCATATTTAAATAAATGTCTCCCAATAGTGAAGAGAATCTCTGTCCATTAAAGGTAGGCAGCCATTTCTCCAGTCACAGTAGCTCCACTCACTCCATCTTTATCCAGTACTGTAGTACCGAACATGAATCCTATTGCTTCTTCAAAAGCAAAAAAGCCTCCTCTCCCACTTTCTCAAGGAAGCTGTGGCTTAAGTTACCCATCCACTGAACCCAGTGAGAGTTTCCTACAAACAAAAGAGGAGGAGAAAGAGGAGGAGCTACAATAAAAGACTGTCCCGCTAGCCACTAACTGAAAACTGGATCCCTTCAACTTTAGCTATTGATCGTAATACTTTTGATGAAACTGTACTGCATATTAAATGGACTTCAGAACCTTCGAAATAATAGCAAAAAATTAATACAAATTATTAATAAATTTTTGATTACTTACCGTCAAAATTTTTGTTCTTTTTCTTAAAGTTTTCCATGGCCTACCAGCCCAACATGCTCCCAATCTCATTGCCAGTAAACAATCACCAGTTGCCCCTCCCTCCCTCATTAGTATTCCCCAGTTGCTTTTCCGCCAAGGCCAGTCTATCAGCATCAGGATAATTAGGAATAATAACTGAATGACCATGAGCCTCAGCAGTAGATATTGAGAGATCCTATTAATAATAATAATAATAATAATAATAATAATAATAATAATAATAATAATGATAATAATAACCATAATAATAATAACAACAACAATAATAAATAATGATAATATACATGTAAATATGTATCACAAAATGTAATGAAAATTGGGAGTGATTTTGGAGCTATTTTTTGGAAAAAACCATGGGCTATAGTAACGCTACCACGTTACAAATAGTACAGGGAATTTTTCAGATTTTGGCTCATTTTTTAAAGTAGCCGTAACTTGAAAAATTGAAGTCAGAATCAGCTAAAACTTTCTACACAGCATAAGGACATCAATATGCATCAGAAAATATAATAAAAATTGGAAGTGATTTCAGAGCCATTTTTGGAAAAAACCATGGGCTATAGTACAGGGAATTTTTCAGATTTAGGCCCATTTTTTAAAATGGCCATAACTTGAAAAATTGAAGTTGGAATTAACTCAAACTTTCTACACAGCATAAGGACATCAATATGTATCAGAAAATGTAATAAAAATTGGAAGTGATTTCGGAGCCATTTTTTGAAAAAAACCATGGGCTAAGTACAGGGAGTTTTTCAGATTTTGGCTCATTTTTTAAAATGGCCGTAACTTGAAAAATTGAAGCTGGAATCAACTCAAACTTTCTACACAGCATAAGGACATCAATATGTATCAGAAAATATAATAAAAATTGGAAGTGATTTCAGAGCCATTATTTGGAAAAAACCATGGGCTATATATAGTACAGGCAATTTTTCAGATTTTGGCTCATTTTAAAAAATGGTCATAACTTGAAAAATTAAAGTCGGAATCGACTCAAACTTTCTACACAGCATAAGGACATCAATACTAATAATGGTTATATTCATTTACCTCCTCCTCCTCCTCCTTCATCTTCATCTTCTTTCTTTGATGGTTTCTCTTCTTCTTCTTCTTCTGCAATGTAACTGTCTTCCTG